GTGTATATGTCTATGATCATGTAGCCTGACCACGTCAGACTTCCTACTTCCGCTAATATCATTTCGCTCCTGTCTACGGAGCAAAGTGAAGTAGCAGAGTCTGGTATTACCAGGCTAATTATCATGTGCCTGTTCACACCAACACGAATGTTTAGACGTGAATACGTTAGGTGTAGCCTATTATGCTGTCTTTACTTGCTATCGGAATTATCGTAAATACTAGTTTTCTAATTAAAAAACTGCACATAAAGTCATAATCATGACTTCAGAAGTGGGAACTAGGACATTTCTGTTCACTCTCTCTCTCATATTCACTCTCACAGTCTGTCCAAACCTGATTATTTGTATATCCAATAGGAATCTGAACTAAAATTATTGGCGTCCACATTGTGTATTAGAGCCCGACCGATAAAGGATTTTGAAGGGTGATACCGACACAAATATTTGTTGGTTTTAAAATCCGATATTCCGATATATCAGCCGATATTATTATTATTCTTATTTCAGAAACGCACAACAAAATGTAAATAACAGATTTCCCTAACATTAGTTATTTATTAAGAGTTTTAACTAAAATAATATGGTAATCTATTTTAAAAAGAAAGTTGTGTCTATTGTCTCAACAGAACAGAGGAACATCAAAATATGTTAAAGTTCTGATCAATTAAATAATAATTAGTCCCTACATTGCCTTATAGTTAAGCTACCTTATAATTACAATGTCAGCTTAACTTGCTTAACCCTTTACCTGCACTTTTTGACAACACTCATGACATGGTTGAAGCGTGATTCGTCTGTTTTTATTTTATTTTTGAAATATTCATTTATTGGCCATTATAACTGCCGATACCGATATTTTAATATCGGCTGATAATATCGGCCTGCGTATCGCTACTGTTCGGATCTGACTGGGTGTGTAACAATATATCGAAATACAAAAATGGAACAATATGTATTGTGGATAAAAATGAACCTACTTTAATGTTGCACACTTTTTAGTTAAGGCTGGTTTTCAAAAGTGATGAAGTGTTTTCCTTGTGTTCCTCAGTGACATCATGAATTTGGTCCGTCTTGTGTGTCGTCATAAGACAGCCCTGGCACTCTGTGTCCTCTTCCTATTTGCCGTCGTCCTTTTGTTCCTCGCCAAATGTACGTCTGAGACGCTGAAGCCGGCCGAGTCCCCAGGGGTGGCGCCGCGGGCCGAGTCCCGGCAGAAGCAGCCGGCGGGGCCTCCCCGTGCCAGAGAGCTCTCGGCGTTCCTGGTGGTCCTCATCACCACGGGGCCAAAGTACACCGAGCGTCGCAGTATTATCCGGAGCACCTGGCTGACCAAGCAGGATCCCGAAGTGCTGTACTGGTTTGTCGTTGGCACAGAGGGCTTACCCGCCGAAGACCTCCAGAACATCGGAACCGAGCAGGTCCGTCACCGTGACCTCCTCTTGCTCCCTGACCTCAGAGATTCGTACGAGAACCTCACGCAGAAACTGCTGCACATGTACTCGTGGCTGGACCAAAACGTGGACTTTAAGTTCGTTCTGAAGGCCGACGACGACACCTTCGCCCGCTTGGACCTCCTCAAAGAGGAGCTGAAGACCAAGGAGCCCAGTCGCCTCTACTGGGGCTTCTTCTCCGGACGCGGGAGAGTGAAAACGGCCGGGAAATGGAAAGAAAGTACTTGGGATCTGTGCGACTACTACTTACCGTATGCTCTGGGTGGGGGCTACGTGCTCTCCGCCGACCTCGTGCACTACGTTCACCTCAATGTGGGGTTTCTAAAGATCTGGCAGAGTGAGGACGTTTCCTTGGGTGCGTGGTTGGCCCCGGTGGACGTGAAGCGGCTTCACGATCCACGCTTCGACACGGAGTACAAGTCGCGCGGATGCAGCAATAAGTACCTGGTCACACACAAGCAGAGCTTAGAGGACATGTTGGAGAAACATCAGACACTACAGCGAGATGGGCGCCTGTGCAAAGAGGAGGTCAAACTGAGGCTGTCCTATGTTTACGACTGGAGCGTCCCACCTTCCCAGTGTTGCCAGCGGAAGGATGGCATCCCCTGACTCTCACACCCCGTGATCTTCTGTGTTTTTTTCCACTTGCTATTTATTTATTTATTTATTATCAATGTCGACCTGAAACAGGTTACTTAAAGGAGTAGTTCACTTTAAAAAAATAACTTTTGCTGATAATTGACTCACCCCCATGTCATCCAAGATGTCCATGTCTTTCTTTCTTCAGTCGAAAAGAAATTAAGGTTTTTGATGAAAACGTTCCAGATTTTCTCCATATAATGGACTTCAATGGGGACCAAACGGTTCAAGGTCCAAAAGACAGTTTCGGTGCAGCTTTAAACGATTCCAGGCGATGAATAAGGGTCTTATCAAGCGAAACGATCGCTCATCTCAAGTTTAAGTTTCATAAGCTCAATTGGTCGCCTTGCTCTGTTCTGTGATGCGCATTCGTGACTCCTGTTCGAACTCGTTCATCAAAATGAACAAATCTTTTTTCGTGTCATTTGGTTCATTCAATGAATGAATTGACTCTGAAAAAGATTCGTTCATTTTGAGTCACGAACGCGCATCACAGAACAGAGCAAGGCGAGCATTTGTGCCTATAAAACTTAAACTTTATTATTTTTTTTTTTTTTTAATGAGCGATCGTTTCGCTTCATAAGACCCTTATTCATCGTCTGGAATCGTTTAAAGCACTTTGAGCCCTTTTTTAAAGCCCTCTTTTGGACTTTGAACCGTTTGGTTCCCATTGAAGTGCATTATATGGAGAAAATCCTGGAATGTTTTCATCAAAAACCTTAATTTCTTTTCGACTGAAGAAAGAAAGACATGGACATCTTGGATGACATGGGGGTGAGTAAACTATCAGCAAAAGTTTTTTTTTTTAAGTGAACTACTCCTTTAACCTTTTAAAAAAGGCTTTTGCAATGAGGATTATGGGTGAGGGTACAGAAAGCTGCTCTTCTGGAAGTTTAAGCAGTAAATGAGATGGTCTTTGAGTCAGTTTGAGTCTGGGAAGTGATCAATGTTTCTGCTGTATTCTCTCCATACACCTTCTGTACTTGATGTCCACTGATACAATTTCCCAATTGTAATCCTGAATAGTTTAGAGTGTATATTATGTTGTAATAAATCGACATAAGAATTGTGAACCAGACGGAACAGCTTATTAATAGGAAAGAAACTTGAAGATAAATTCACCTAAAGTATTTTGTCCATTTGTGATAAAGAAGTGATAAAGAGATGGTTTTCTTTGAGATTTGCCATATGACGATAAAGCGGTCTTGAGGACTTGGCTGCCAGGTTTGGCAGTATTATTAGTATTTTATGTGATGTGACTGAGTTGTAAATAATGTACCTCAAATTTTATTAAACATTTGTTGGTTCTGTTTTTACACCAAAGCTATCGCCTTGTACGAAGTTTTTTTTATAAAAAATAAAATAAAACAAAAACTCTTATGCAGCCTCATATCCAAGCATTGGGATGCAGTCGCATCACTTTGAATGGTGGAATTCCCCTGACGAAATGAAGTCATCTCTATTAGAATCTGTAATTCATGCATTTCGCATCAGAATAAACTTTGTTAAACTTGGAACACACAAAAAGAGGATTGGCAGTGAAGCGACGCAACCGATGCTGGTGGTAGGTTACATGATAATGACAACATAGCGGATATAGTACATCCAGATTACATTCATTCTATATAGAAAATACTTTTGTTGTGAAGTAAATACTTTTTCAAATTTCGGACGCGGCCGTTGTCAAAGAACGGACGCCATTTAAGAGCGGAATAAAATTTTCAGATTTTGACTTTTACACTGTTGACCCTTCCTTTACTCCACAACCCACCCCATACCCATCCCACTAAACCAGTCCATTACCATAACCGTATCCCACCTCAATAGCAGCTAAAGCGTTGTGCAATACAATATGAACTCAATAAGTACATTTTTAAAAGTATTTTTTTAAATATCATAAAATTATCCATTTTTGATATTTTAAATTTTAAAACAAAACTTTTAACTGATAATTTACTCACCCCCACGTCATCCAAGATGTCCATGTCTTTCTTTCTTCAGTCGAAAAGAAATTAAGGTTTTTGATGAAAACATTCCAAGATTTTCTCCATATAATCCTGATTCAACTCGTTCATTTCGTTCGTTGAATGAACAAAATGACACAAAAAAGATTCTTTCATTTTGATAAACGAGTTTGAACAGGAGAGTCACGAACGCGCATCACAGAACAGAGCGAGGCGACCATTTGAGCTTATAAAACGTAAACTTTTTTTTTTTTTTTTTTAATTGGCCGATCGTTTCGCTTGATAAGACCCTTATTCATCGTCTGGAATCGTTTAAAGCCCTTTGAACAGTTTGCACTGAAACTGTCTTTTGGACCTTGAACTGTTTGGTTCCCATTGAAGTCCATTATATGGAGAAAAATCCTGGAATGTTTTCATCAAAAACCTTAATTTCTTTTCGACTGAAGAAAGAAAGACGTGGACATCTTGGATGACATGGGAGTGAGTAAATGATCAGCAAAAGTTTTGTTAAAAGTGAACTACTCCTTTAAGATCTCCATATCTCTGGGATAGAAGAACCATCGAGGGCCTTTAAAATGAAGATACCAAAAAACAACAACAACATTTGTTAAGAACCAGAACGTAAAAGGATATCAAGATATCTTATTACTTCGTTCTTAGGCTACAGTTTACGTAGGCTTTACCCATTTGCACTGCAGTGCTAAAATTTACGCTGCTAAACCCATATTGTTAATATATTTCAGTGTACAAGCAGAAAAAAGTGTTTATAGTGAATCAAATATATTTAGCAGGTGGAATAAGATTCATAGATCCACATGAACAATTTTACCATGACAAAGTTGTCTTAATACTAATAGTAGCCTAGTAATACACATTGTAACTGTGATACTGGCAGCATTAGGATGGACACATGTGCCAAGTCGAGACAGCTTTTAATCTGTATGGCGATTTCCCAGAATTCCGTGGTACCGGAAGCGTTCGGGAAGCCTGTGCTGTCGATGCGGAACTGATGAAGACAGTAAATAAAAAGGCTTTGGCAACTTGCGCTTCATCTCAACACGGGATTTAAAAGCTGCAAAAATGACAAACGGTATGTTAATAAACTCGTGTTATGAGGTGAACTGTGTGGTCGTCAGAGAGCGATGAATGCTGTCAGTCAGCTGAGCTGTGTGTGTGTGTGTGGACGTGGCTCTCATAGGGCCGCAGCTGATTTAACATTTAACGTTACTGCAAGCTTTTATTAAGTCACGAGCAAGATATCTTAATGCAGTGTAAATCAAAATAAAATAAAATATGATCGTTGACCGGAAGTGTCGTGGTAATAGACTGTCGGTAACGTTAGCTAGCTAGCAAGCTGAGCTCAACTTTAACAGCTGTAAGTTAGTCACACACACACAGGCTGTAAACATCGTGTCATCACATTTACATCTCGTGTACACACATTTTGCTGTTAAAATATCAGCCCTCATACTAATCAATTGGTTGGTTGAAACTCACTTTGCAAGTATAACTACAAAAACGCCACATTAAACGCGATGTTGAGGCTTTCCATTTACTTTCTAGATAGATAGATAGACAGACAGACAGAAGAGAGATAGATATATAGGACTTTATTGTCATTGTATGCAGTGTTGGAGCAGTCCTCTCCAGATAGCAGCATAGATTAAAACATTTTTAAAAATATATAAAAATTTAAACCTATATCCTCATACACATACATATATAAAACATACACAGGCTACATACTGTCTTTGATAACTGCCTTAAGAATTTTGTATTTTCTTACTTTGAAAAATGGGAATGTGTTTGAACATTTGTTAGTAGATTAGATTATTTTTATGATAGTGGAATAGCAGTTAATGTAGCCTATTAAAAATAAACAACTATAATGTATTTAATGTATTAATCACTAATAGTTTACTCATGTATGTAATGACCCAGGAGTCTCTAATAATATTTTATTATTTGCTTCTTGTAACAAGCTAATGTAAAAGTCCATTAAAAACACATCTTGAAATATTTGAGGGTTAGTTGTGTTCTTTGTTTTCACAGTGTACTCTTTCGACGGCATTCTTGTATTCGGACTCCTCTTCGTTTGCACGTGTGCGTACCTGAAGAAGGTCCCTCGTCTCAACAGCTGGCTCTTGTCTGAGAAGAAAGGTGTCTGGGGAGTATTTTACAAAGGTAAGTGATGAGCAGACCTGCGACTGAAGACCGCTCTCCTGCAGTGATACTCAGTGATGTTTCTTCCTGTTTTCTCTGTAGCTGCGGTGATCGGCACTCGGCTTCACGTCGCTGTGGCGGCGTCCTGTTTGTTCATGGGTTTTTACCTGATTTTTCTGAAATGACCTGGACAAATCTGACTCTTGGACACTGGACTATGGAAAGTGCTGGCAGATGTCGCCCACTCCTGAAGACGACGACGACGCACAGAGACCCGACTCCACCTGCAGCTTAACACTGGTTCAGGACCTGCTTTCCATTTCTGTACATGTTTGACTTAAAGATTGGATTTTGGGGAACTCGGTCGTAGATCAGAGTGAGGCGGTTATTAGGAAATGGAAATGAAGCACCTATTTAGGGATTCAAACTTCACATGTTTTTGTGTTGTTCTCTCAAACATGCACATGTTTTGCTTGGGCTTATACAGGGTTACAGTAAAGAAGGTAGAAACAAACAATCTTATCTTGTACAATTATTGAATATATGTTTTTTTTAAGCTATTTTAGGTTTTTATTGTCATAACTGGCTTTACTTTAGTTATCCCAAATGTTTATAAAGACCTATTGTTTGTAGCATGATAAAATGACCTAAAACGGTTTTCAATGTTTCACGTTAAAGTGGGCAAATTGAAGAGGAACCATAAAAGCAATTTAGTTTAGTAATTGCAGTGTACTGGCTCAAAAAAAAAAAAAGCATAACATTATTTTTTGATATTACATATGTGCCTAGGGACTTTAATTTTATTATATACAGTATGTAAAAGCAATGTTGCGTTCACGCCATGCCGTAATTACTTAGTCTCGAGACTAGGGCTGTCAAATGATTAATCGTGATTAATCACATCCAAAATAAAAGTTTGTGTTTACATAATATATGTGAGTGCACGGTGTATAATTATTTTATATATATATAAATACACACACATGCATGTATATATTTAAGAAATATTTTCATGTATATACTGTATATAGATTTATATATAATTTAAATTATATATAAATATTTTATACATAAATGATATTTTTTTCTTAAATATACATGCATGTGTGTGTATTTATATATATATATATATATAAAATAATTATACACAGTGCACCCACATATATTATGTAAACACAAACTTTTATTTTGGATGCGATTAATCGTGATTAATTGTTTGACAGCCCTACTCGAGACGTAGACATTCACGTCAGCAAATAGCAACACTATCAACTCCTAAATGAATCTACAGCGGTCACATGGGACATGTTGGAGCTCGTAGAAAAGTCCCATCGTGCAAGATCTCCACGAGGAAGTAAACGCTTTGAAACGACACACACCATGTGATTGCATTCTGAGGATGTGTCTGTTTGGTTTGGTTTAATAAATACACAACTAAATAGACTTTATAAAGATAAACCACAATAAACATAGACATGCCATGGCAAAATAAAATGCACTACAATTTAAATCTTTAACATTCATGAGGCTTTCATTATTATCCTTCCGGTTTAGCGACCTTATCATTTATCTTAGGAAATCAAACTTTTTCAAATATTATGTTATATGATATTACGTTAAAATATGATTATGATTCTGAAAGTTTCTGTAATATAGCCTTAGAATGCTAATTACATAAACCCTCTTTTCTCGTGTTGTTGCAATTTTGTCTGTTACGCAGCACAAAAATGTAAATGCCAAGTCGTTCTTTTGTATTTATGCATTCAGTTGTGTGTCCTAAATCCAATCCAATGTACAAAAGTCAACAATTGAACTAGCCTCTTTCGGCCTGTAAATGTACATAGTCATCCTCTAAAACTGCTCTATACAAAATTATAGTTGTTGGGTGTTCATATTTGTAAACATGTGGAACATAATAAATAATTGATATAAAACCCTATGCAACACAATACTAATATGTGTGAAGAGGTGTTTCTTGTTCATATAAATAGTGATAGCCGATTAATCTGAACGATATCTGCCGATAACAATAGTTTGATCTTCTTAAAGGGATAGTTCACCTAAAAATAAAAACTGTCATAAATGTCTCATCCGTGTGTCCTTCCAAACCCGTAAGACTTTGGTTCATCTTCAGAACACAAATGAAGATTTTTTTTTTTTTTTTTTTTTTTTTTTTTTTACAAATGAAGATCTTTAATGAAATCTGAGATATTTCAGCTATGCAACTACTAGTTTGATGCTTTAAAAAGTTCATGGAGAGATTGAAAAACGAATCCATATGAATTGAGCGATTAACTCCAAAATTTTTGATGACCAGATTGAATTTAGGCTTATATTTACATATAAACAAACATTCATAACACGTAATGAACCTCATTGGTTCTCACACGTGAGCATGCGTGAGCTTCTGTTTACCACAACTGAGGGCTGTTCCATAAAACAAGATTAGAATACAAGCCAGGCTAATTTTGGTAAGTCAGACTTATTTTTGCTTGATTCTGTTTCATAAAGCAAACTTAAAATAGTTCAAACTCGGTTACTCTAGCAACTTATCCTGGGAAACTGGTTGTTTTGTAAAAGATGCTAAGAAAAGCGGGGATTAAAAATAAAATAAAAATTGAACAGAAGTAGCCTAATTAAAAATTGTTTTAAGAGACCAGATTTAATAAAGATACAAAATATAGCGTTGGGTATAGAACCTATGTAACCTAATAAAGATGACATACTTATTTACAATGCTAATAATTACTATATATGTATATATTTATTTATTTATTTTTGGAGAAAGCAAGAATCCCCAGTTTTAAAAGATTGGTTATAGATTTAGTTTCTAAAGTATACTATGGAGAGGATAACACCAAATTAAGAGCAAAAGTATACATTTTGAAAAGATGTGCAACCTACTCATTTGCATGTTGCACGAAGGTAAAATAAATATGGAGCTACATTAAAAAATATATATATAATAAACGGTTCGAAGGTAAAAAGATACTTTTAGCATTTCCTTTGACATGTTTAGTTTATTTCCCCAACAGTTTATATTTGTTTAATTATCTCCTCTCACATTTAATTATGTATATAGTTATTTATGCAGGAATATGTGTATTTATTTATTTTATTTGCATATTTATTTATACATTTATCTATGTCAAATTTTGTGGATTTATTTATATATGTACTTAGTTATTGTTTTTGCAGGTTTCATCCTCCATAGTAACTCTCAAAGATATTTCTGATATTGTGATGATTTAGTTTGAATGATTGCTGATTAAAGTAGGCGATATATAATAACTCCTATTCTTGTTCTTAATGACATGTCAGCTCTAGAGGTCCAGAGGTCAATGGGTTACATTATATAAATTCAAATTTCTGTACTGATAGCCAAAGAACTGACTTTGCAAAAATCTTCATATGCCATAAGATATCAGGCCATATATACAATTAGAACATAAATATTATATTATTATCTGTGTATTAAATAATTGGTGTGAAGACTAACGCATTCTTATCCTGAAATAAATAGTGAATGACAGAAACCTCGAAGCCTTTGTGTTTGCAGCTGCTGTTTCGAGGCGTTCGTTTGCACTTACACGTTTTTGACCAGCAGATGTCCTCAGCGTTCAGTGTTTCCAATCAATAAAGATGAAGAAATGTCGTTTCTCCGTTCACTTACCTACCTAGTGATTAAAATAAGGTTGGAGAATGGTAATCGTTTAATTGTTGTTCTTTTAGTTTTAATCGTTTAATTGTTGTCTCGTATTTTAAATGTGAAGTAGGCTTATTAGCCTAAATTAAAAGACGTGAAATTGAGTCACCAAATGTTTTACCCAGACTCGTTGTGTCGTAAAGATAGTTTAAATAACAAATATATATATATTTATTCGGCGACTGTAAAAGTTTAAAGTTTTGTGGGGGCAAAAACAACGACATGTTACTTTTCTCACCGATATCAAAGAATTAACCAATCACCGTAGACCTACTCCCGTTTAACTAGCACTTCAACTTTACTATTACTATATTTTTATTTACTATTATTATTATCCTAATATTGGATACATTGTCTTACAAAATGTTTGTATTTCCATTAGATATTTAGTTTTAATGATGTTTCGAATTTTTAATCTTTACAAAAATCAACATCGTTAACTGCTGTTTTAAACTGGTATCTGAAAACACACAAACGCATATATTTCAATGTCCACTATGAAAGAAAAAAGATTTAAAAAACATACATCTTATATATATTCATATTATTGCTAGCGAAGTTCCATAAACTGACTCCAAGATCGATTAGATCGACTGATGTATAAGGTAAGTCTTTCCACTTTTATATATATTTATATGTTTTTCCCCCTCCATTTTAGATCTTTACATTGTTCATCTAAAAAATAAACAGTTGCAGTCGCTCTGTCGCTTAGGTTCTAGTTCTCGCGAGGTTTGTGGCGAAGTCCCGAGAGTTTCCCTTATCTCGTGACGTCAAGCGTGTTCGTCAGAGGAGAACCTGTAACAGAAAAAAAGGGAAAGACAAATCCAAGAGGTCCGCACCAGAAATCTCACCCTCCGCCACACAGCGATCCTCAAGGATCAGAGTTGGAGTTCGTGCACGATCTTCAGCGCCAGTGCATTTTGACTGATGTCCTCTGATGCACGAGGACAGCTCTGTGAACGCGGAGCTCGCGCTTTTGTTTAGTTAGTTTTTGTTTGTGTGTATCAAAGCACTGAGATCAGGACAGCAGCAGAAGTTTCCACTCCTCTACAGGAATGTCCCAAACGGAGAGACCGAATTTCTATCGACAGGAGCTCAATAAGACCATATGGGAGGTGCCGGAGCGGTACCAGAATTTATCGCCCGTGGGTTCTGGAGCGTATGGATCCGTATGGTAAATATCTCTTCTGGAGAATAACATCGTGCGTAAAGCTCTTGCATAACCAGTTCTGGCCGCTCGGGCCTCTCGCGTTTGGTCCACGGTGTGTGTGTGTGTTTTGGGTCTGTTTGTGGAGAGTCATGTTGCAGCACTGCAAGTTGAGCCAGAAAACACACTTTTCAAACCGAGAACCCGAACAGGCTTGCACTCTTAATACGATTGCATTGGATTTGTTTTGCTTTGCTTTGCAGAAGTCACTACAATCGGGTGTCAAATGGCGTATGTTCACTGTATTTATAGATATTGAACACATAATGCACGTGTTAGATACGTACTGTCAGTATTCTTTGCACGATGTACATTAAAGCAACGTGCATTTCAACATCATTAAGTAATTCGATTACTTCGTAATTAATTCATTACACCCAACACTGGGTTTTATTAGTTATCGAATATGTTATTTAAAAAGGCAATCATACATAAATTTAATATCAAATATTATTAAGTGATAAGTAATGTGAATTAATAACATATTTTAATCTAAATAATAAAGTAAAGTTTAAGTGCTGTGCAACGTACCAAATTAATCAAATTACATTGATTATAATTGTGTGCTTTGGGACATCGTTTTTGTAATCAGGTTCTCAAAAATAATAATATTTATATTTATTGGCCAATATATAAAGAATTACCATGTATCGGCCAAGATTTTCATATCGGAGCATCCCTATTTAGGTGTATCCGAAAAATGCAATGTTTCAGTGCAGGAGTCAGACCATGAGGACAACATGATGTCACTCTCGGCTGTGACTCATAACTCCAGGATTAGGTGGTCGTCTCAGTCCTCGTCACTGATCTGGGTCAGTTGTGCATGTGAGGACTCCTGTTATAAACCTGTGCTAAATATTACATCATTTACATGAGCGACTCGAGGACTCTTAGTGTTTCCCTTCATGACCCAGATTTTACATCAAATGAGTGACTCCAAATGGTATGAAACCTCTGCATTGATTGTGCTTGTGTGAGCATGTGTGCTGGGCTAATGAATGAGAGAAAACCGTTGGCCATGTGGCTTGTGGGGTTTCAGGAAGGAAAAGTCAGCACAGGTCTGGTGGACGGTCCATTCTGGGCTCTTTATCCTGGACAGTCCCTAATAATGTGGGCGGATCCTGTCCTAGCGGTGTCCTCTGTCCGGGATATAAATAGCGCTCCATTGTGTGTGTTTCCAGGACATTTCAGTCTGGTAAATCAAGCAGTTCAGGTCTGTTCAACGTCAGTCATTCCTGCTGGAGGCTGCAACGCTCCTGCCACGTGTTTCTGGACACACAGGACGCTCTCTGTGAACATAAAGACACTGTCATGAGAACCACTTAATGTCAGCGTGAAACTGAAGTTGTAATAGTCGTTTCTTCTCTATTTCGAAAAATTAGAATATGGTGCAAAAGTGCATTTATTAAGGTGAAACTGATATTTTACATGCAAAGTGAGATATTTCAAGCCTTTATTTGTCATAAGTTTGATTAATGAAAACCTCAAATTGTGAAAAGGTTTTTATTGCTGTAATCCATAATCATCAAAATTATAACAAAGGCTTGTAATATCTCACTTTTCATGAGTCGATATTATATATTAGTTTGACCTTTTAAGTTGAATTACTGAAATAAATGAACTTTATAATGTATTAGTTTGACCTTTTAAGTTGAATTACTGAAATAAATGAACTTTATAATATATTAGTTTCACCTTTTAAGTTGAATTACTGAAATAAATGAACTTTATAATATATTAGTTTCACCTTTTAAGTTGAATTACTGAAATAAATGAACTTTATAATATATTAGTTTCACCTTTTAAGTTGAATTACTGAAATAAATGAACTTTATAATATATTAGTTTCACCTTTTAAGTTGAATTACTGAAATAAATGAACTTTATAATATATTAGTTTCACCTTTTAAGTTGAATTACTGAAATAAATGAACTTTAAAATTTATTAGTTTCACCTTTTAAGTTGAATTACTGAAATAAATGAACTTTATAATTTATTAGTTTGACCTTTTAAGTTGAATTACTGTAATAAATGAACTTTATAATATATTAGTTTCACCTTTTAAGTTGAATTACTGAAATAAATGAACTTTATAATATATTAGTTTCACCTTTTAAGTTGAATTACTGAAATAAATGAACTTTATAATATATTAGTTTCACCTTTTAAGTTGAATTACTGAAATAAATGAACTTTATAATATACTAGTTTCACCTTTTAAGTTGAATTACTGAAATAAATGAACTTTATAATATATTAGTTTCACCTTTTAAGTTGAATTACTGAAATAAATGAACTTTATAATATATTAGTTTCACCTTTTAAGTTGAATTACTGAAATAAATGAACTTTATAATATATTAGTTTCACCTTTTAAGTTGAATTACTGAAATAAATGAACTTTATAATATATTAGTTTCACCTTTTAAGTTGAATTACTGAAATAAATGAACTTTATAATATACTAGTTTCACCTTTTAAGTTGAATTATTGAAATAAATGAACTTTATAATTTATTAGTTTCACATTTTAAGTTGAATTACTGAAATAAATGAACTTTATAATATATTAGTTTCACCTTTTAAGTTGAATTACTGAAATAAATGAACTTTATAATATATTAGTTTCACCTTTTAAGTTGAATTACTGAAATAAATGAACTTTATAATATATTAGTTTCACCTTTTAAGTTGAATTACTGAAATAAATGAACTTTATAATATATTAGTTTCACCTTTTAAGTTGAATTACTGAAATAAATGAACTTTATAATATATTAGTTTCACCTTTTAAGTTGAATTACTGAAATAAATGAACTTTATAATATACTAGTTTCACCTTTTAAGTTGAATTACTGAAATAAATGAACTTTATAATTTATTAGTTTCACCTTTTAAGTTGAATTACTGAAATAAATGAATTTTATAATATATTAGTTTCACCTTTTAAGTTGAATTACTGAAATAAATATACTTTATAATATACTAGTTTCACCTTTTAAGTTGAATTACTGAAATAAATGAACTTTATAATATATTAGTTTCACCTTTTAAGTTGAATTACTGAAATAAATGAACTTTATAATATATTAGTTTGACCTTTTAAGTTGAATTAATGAAATAAATGAACTTTGTAATATATTAGTTTCACCTTTTAAGTTGAATTAATGAAATAAATGAACTTTATAATATATTAGTTTCACCTTTTAAGTTGAATTACTGTAATAAATGAACTTTATAATATATTAGTTTCACCTTTTAAGTTGAATTACTGAAATAAATGAACTTTATAATATATTAGTTTCACCTTTTAAGTTGAATTACTGACATAAATGAATTTTATAATATATTAGTTTCACCTTTTAAGTTGAATTACTGAAATAAATGAACTTTATAATATACTAGTTTCACCTTTTAAGTTGAATTACTGAAATAAATGAACTTTATAATTTATTAGTTTCACCTTTTAAGTTGAATTACTGAAATAAATGAACTTTATAATATACTAGTTTCACCTTTTAAGTTGAATTACTGAAATAAATTAACTTTATAATTTATTAGTTTCACCTTTTAAGTTGAATTACTGAAATAAATGAACTTTATAATATATTAGTTTCACCTTTTAAGTTGAATTACTGAAATAAATGAACTTTATAATATATTAGTTTGACCTTTTTAAGTTGAATTACTGAAATAAATGAACTTTAAAATTTATTAGTTTCACCTTTTAAGTTGAATTACTGAAATAAATGAACTTTATAATTGATTAGTTTCACCTTTTAAGTTGAATTACTGAAATAAATGAACTTTATAATATACTAGTTTCACCTTTTAAGTTGAATTACTGAAATAAATGAACTTTATAATTTATTAGTTTCACCTTTTAAGTTGAATTACTGAAATAAATGAACTTTATAATATATTAGTTTCACCTTTTAAGTTGAATTACTATAATTAACTATAGTAAATTAGTTTGACCTTTTAAGTTGAATTACTGAAATAAATGAACTTTATAATATATTAGTTTGACCTTTTAAGTTGAATTACTGAAATAAATGAACTTTAAAATTTATTAGTTTCACCTTTTAAGTTGAATTACTGAAATAAATGAACTTTATAATTGATTAGTTTCACCTTTTAAGTTGAATTACTGAAATAAATGAACTTTATAATATACTAGTTTCACCTTTTAAGTTGAATTACTGAAATAAATGAACTTTAAAATTTATTAGTTTCACCTTTTAAGTTGAATTACTGAAATAAATGAACTTTATAATTGATTAGTTTCACCTTTTAAGTTGAATTACTGAAATAAATGAACTTTATAATATACTAGTTTCACCTGTTAAGTTGAATTACTGAAATAAATGAACTTTATAATATACTAGTTTCACCTTTTAAGTTGAATTACTGAAATAAATGAACTTTATAATATATTAGTTTCACCTTTTAAGTTGAATTACTATAATTAACTATAATAAATTAGTTTGACCTTTTAAGTTGAATTACTGAAATAAATGAGCTAATAGTGCGCGCACGAGGGAGAGCGAGAGACTTTGCGTGTGTGCCTCATGACACAGAGACTCAGACACCGAAATGTTGGTTCTTATTCGGTCTGGTTATTACCGTTTACGTCGGAACCGTTCCCCTATTGGCACCGCGTTTCAGCACCCAACCCTACCCATAATGCATCCGTCTGCGTATTCAGTACCGTCGTCCATATTTTCAAGCAGTTTCTGCCGGTGAAATCAAACGCACTGGCACTGATCTGTGATTGGTCTGTTAGTGTATTAGGCCCAACCCCCTATGGGTGGGTTTAGGGATGGGTACCGAAACCCGGTATTAAACGGGCCCCGGTACTGAATTTTGAAAGACCGCTGTATCGATAAGCTCGGACGTTACCGGTTCTGCTGTCGGTACTGGAGAAATTAAGTAAATACACGCAAGTTGGGCTACTATTTATTATT